CGTGTGGTAGGAACCAGCCACCTCCGCAGATGCCGGAAAAGAGGCCGCAAAAAGGAAGAGTAATTGAACACTACAGATTACTAAGAAAAAGACGTAGTTATCCCATTCTCTAAGCTGGGACTGAATATCACAACTGAAAACATACCTCGCTTCGGTGCTTCGGCTTTGGGCTTGATCCATATGAACGCTTTTGATGCCGTTGTTCCCTTCGCGAAGTAAAATGAATGAGACTTTAACCGGCTGTTCATGTATTATTACAGCAGAAATAGTTTAACATGATAAGTTATCTTTTTTATGATTAATATTTCAATTAAGTTCAATCGTAGTCAAAGTAGCGTGACTATTCTGTCTGGTCTGAACGGGATCGAGGAAAAAAACAAATACTGCACTGTGTTCGTTTTACGTGTCATAAACATTCAACACTGAAAACGTCTCATTAATTCGGGTAGTCAATTCTTGGTCAATCCCCCTGAGTGGGTGTCAGCCATATTTGAGGCGTCGTCATCACTGCCAGGCCCAGTAGAGTATTGGTGAAAAGGCGGATAATGTTTGCGTCTGTCTTCCTCCTTTGCTGGGCGCAGGAAAACGGAAGCGAGTCCAGATAATGGGCAATCATCGTGCGACAGGAAGGAACGAACGGAACTAAGGCCAGTGAGCGCTTAGTTCGTTCTGACGGGCAGAGGTTGCTTAGCTAGGAAACGGTCTTGATCGCGCACGCACAGTTACATTTTTTTTTCCGACTGTCCAATTAACAGAATGAACGAAGGAATGGGGATTTTCGAGACTTTCTTTGAACCGACCAATGAAAACCATCAGATGCTGGGAACGTAAATTTTACTGTTTTCAGTTGTATTGCGATAATTGCGATCTAGATGTGACGAAAGTAAAGCGGACGAAAAGACAACTATAGCCGCTGGCAGGGACCGAATCTGCGAATTTAGGATTTCTACAGAGCACCGCCTAACACAATATTTAGGCATTGCTCGAGTTTTATGTGCCAAAACAGCGATTGCGATTACGAGGCGAGCCGTAGCAGGTACACCAAAAGAATTTAGACCAACTTGGTTTCTCGAAAGCACCCGGCCAATTCTCCGTGGGCGAATATGTGCGCCAGAAAAGTGGACGGGCCTCCAGCATTTAGCCTCCACCCCTAACACGATGGTTTTCGCCACGCATCACAACAGATCAGTGACGTAGATGGTATATATATAGTTACGCTCTTGTCACTATATATATATATATATATATATATATATATATATATATATATATATATATATATATATATATATATATATATATATATATATATATATATATATATATATATATATATATATATATATATATATATATATATATATAGTCCAGTAGATCCTCCGTGAGTGGTCACAACGTGGTTTATTTCGACGTTTCGGCCTACAGTCTGACCTTCATCAGGATTAAAGATACAGTTTGTTGGTGCTCAGCTTTATACAATCTCAAATCAGAGGGCAAGGAAAGAGGAAAAAAAGACAGAAAAGAAAAAAGGAAAAAAAGAAAAGAAATAAAAAGGAAAGAAAAAGAAGAAAAAAGAGAAGAAGAGAAAAATAATATACGGTGGACGCCCCTCGGGTGCCCCCCTTCCACTCTTCCCTCCACTTCCCCCTTCATCTCTCTCCCCCTTCTCCACTTCACCTTTCTGATGTCAGCGGTCTGTGTATGTTTCCGTTCACTAACGCATTCCTCCCGATCAGAGGGCCCCTCCTGTGCCAGGAGGCCCCCACTACACGCGTAATCCAGAAGCGGGCAAGAAATTCGCAATGCACCCGCTTGCACAGCCTACCGCAATACTGGGCACCCCTCCTTTTACGACGAAATGTTGACAGGGCGCGGAGTAGTTAAAGGCTTAGAACTTCCTAAAATGCCCGCTTACCAGCCTCTGCCACAATACGCGGCACCCCTCCTTCTACGACGAATTGTTCACGGGACTCCGAGTAGTTAAAGGCTTAGAACTTCCTAAAAAAGCTCTTTTTTGCCCCACACCGAACCGCCAGTGCCAGGAAGCGCCGTCTGGCCGGGAGGAATGCGTTAGTAAAAGGAAACATACACAGACCGCTGACATCAGAAAGGTGAAGGGGAGAAGGGGGAGAGAGATGAAGGGGGAAGTGGAGGGAAGAGTGGAGAAGGGAAGTGGAAGGAAGAGTGGAAGGGGGGCACCCGAGGGGCGTCCACCGTATATTATTTTTCTCTTCTTCTCCTTTTTCTTCTTTTTCTTTCTTTTCTTTTTTTTTCTTTTTTTCTTTTCTGTCTTTTTTCCTCTTTCCTTGCCCTCTGATTTGAGATTGTATAAAGCTGTGCACCAACAAACTGTATCTTTAATCCTGATGAAGGTCAGACTCTAGGCCGAAACGTCGAAATAAACATATATATATATATATATATATATATATATATATATATATATATATATATATATATATATATATATATATATATATATATATATATATATTTGTAGCACTAAGATAAATTTCAAATCACATTTGAAACACGCCACACCAACGCCGTTTACGAGAGAAACAATCTGGAGCAGGTGGCCCCGCCGCGATGGTATAGTGGCTAAGGTACTCGGCTGCTGACCCGCATGTCGCGGGATCGAATCCCGGCTGCGGCGGCTGCATTTTAGATGGAGGCGAAAATGCTGTAGGCCCATGTGCTCAGATTTGGGCGCACGTTAAAGAAACCCAGGTGATCGAAATTTCCGGAGCCCTCCACTACGGCGTCTCTCATAATCATATGGTGGTTTCGGGACGTAAAACGCCACATATCAATCAATCAATCAATCAATCAATCAATCAATCAATCAATATGGAACAGGTGAAGCAGATGGACGTCGCTGTCTAAGAGCATATACTATCGCTGCCTGGATGATTTCATGTCGCACATAACTACGTGCCCAGTCGGAGAATGCATTTTTCTGTTTCACGTATACACTATAAAAAAAAGCGAGTAAAAAGGGTGTCTTTTTGTCCCACAACAATAATCGTCATCTATATTACCTTCCATCCTTGCGCTATCGCCCCACGCCCGATACATTCCAGTCACGATCGACATGCATATTATCAGGGTCACATTGCATTCTCAATAGGAAAGTGGCCAGCGCCGAGTTTTCAAGAAAGGAAGCGCACGCAAGCCTGATGACGATTATTGTTGTGGGACAAAAAGACACCCTTTTGACTCGATATTTTTTTAGAGTATACTGCTCTACCCTTTCGTAGCAAAGAAAAAAAAAAGAAGAGTGTGTTTGCGCTTAAACGAGATTTTGAGGATTCATGCAACAAGAACTGTGCCATCGAGACGTTAAACGTCGGCAGCGCAGCATCACTGTCGCGCTCTGGTGGTTACAAGGTCATGACAACGCCTCTCGCGCCGGCGCGTATTTATGCTCCCTGAAATGCAGTGAATTTAATGGCGACGCGCTGTTTGGGTTTTCGAGATAAATCCTAACACTTGGGCCCAAGGTAAGAGACAGGTGCTCGCAGCATGTCTGTGTGCGGTTAGTTTGGGCATTTCTCAGACAGAAGGGAGGCAGGCGGCTTGGGCTACAGTTGGTATGTCACGAGCTAAGGACTAAAACAAAGAGACACACGAAATCGACAGTATCTCCGATTGCATCTATAACTAGAGTGACACTGTTGAGTTGCTCGCCTAAACGGCAGCCAGTAGCCCATGGAAGACTGCCAGTTGAACGTGTTGGTAATGGTTCATGATGAGACAAGCGCAAAAAATACACACACTCAGAGAGGACACAGACAAGCGCTTACTAGCAACTGAAATTTTTATTACGAAGCGAACACTAATATATACATCACACGCATGAACGTCACTCCCAACTTCCCCTGTCATCATAAAAAACGTGATAATATAAAATATGCACTAAAAAAATTGCGCGTGAATATTTTGTACTATCACGTTTTTGATGATGACAGGGGAAGTTGGGAGTGACGTTCATGCGTGTGATGTATTTATTAGTGTTCGCTTCGTAATAAAAATTTCAGTTGCTAGTAACCGCTTGTCTGGGTCCTCTCTGAGAGTGTGTATTTTTTGCGCTTGTCTCATCATGAGCCCATGGAAACTGGCGGCGTTTTCGGCAAGCTGGACAGCTCATAGTTGGTCTGCAGGGTTCGAGCTAAGCGGCGCGGATCCCCATTCGAGACATCTGAGGGCAAACCCGCAGTGTGTTTCGGATCCGCTTGTTCCCTCCCGGCTCATTATTGGCCTTTGTCATAATATTGGTCTAAATCATGACGGCCGTAGCCAGAGATGACGGAAGAGCGCGTGCTATCGTTATAATGTAATCACCAACAATGCAATCAGTGGTCTACTGGCTAAGGCACTACGCTGCTGACCCGCAGGTCGCGGGATCGAATCCCAGCCGCATTTTCGATGTAGGCGGAAGGCCCGTGCGTGTACTCTTAGATTTATAGAAACCCCATGTGATCAAAATTTGCGGAGCCCTCCACTACGGCGTCTCTCAAAATCAAATCTTGGTTTTGGGACGTTAAACACCCAAAATTATTATTATTACAATGCAATAACCAAGATGGTGAAGACTCGTTAACGAACACTATGCGAAATTTGCTTTCTTGCGCACGCTTTGATGTGTAAAAGATTAAAACGAACAAAGCGTACAAGGCTACAAGGAAAACTTTGGACACTTGGCTCATCCGACTGCGCACTTGTCTCCGCTCACCGTGCGCAATTGAAAACGTTCCGGGGTCTGTGATTGGCATGTGTACATACTAGGCTCGAAAGGCAAATAAGCTCGAAAGGCGTTCCTGACTGAGCACGTGCGAGCGAAAAAAAAAAGCAGAAAAATTCCAGGCCCTTATGTTTTTCATCTTCACCCGTTCTTTACGCAGACGCTGCTGCTGTGCGGCCGCTGAAGCCTTTCGGGTCAAATTCCTCTTCGCCGTGCTGTGTGTCACGTGCGTGTACAGTCGGTCGCATCGAGGAACCCCAATTTCTCGACTCCGGAGCGTCTTCGTGCGGCCCGCCGCTTTTCTTTTCCTATTCTTCGTTTCGGCCAAGAAGCAAACCGGTTCCAGCAACAGCGGTGTGCCCCGCCAACCGAAACCTCTGCGACCAGCGCTGGTGCGGCACACCGAAAGAAGGAGCGTGTGCCGAAGCGCGGCCGCGGGAAAGAGGTGACAGCGGCGGTCCAGCCGGCAGCGCACAAGACGGCAAGCCAGTCGCGACCGTGCTAAAACGCTTGTTTGAGCTGCCTTTGAACGTTTTTCTTCGCTCCTTTTTCCTCGCTTTTGTTTGCCGAGCTACGCGCCGCCTGGGTGGCCGTACCTGCGACGTCCTTGGAGAAGAGACCATGTCCCCTCACGCGCAGAGCCGGAGTCGCGAGAACTTCGCGCTGTACCTGTACGCCGGCGTTCCGGTGACGCTGTTCGTCATGTGCCTGATTCTGCGCCGTCAGCGCAAGGAGGCCCAGCGGCGCTTCTTCGCCTGGATCTACTCCAAGTACTACGCCGAACACAACGCGGCCATCCTGGCACCCTTCAAGCGAAAACTGTTCTCCGACATGGGAGAGATCGAGTCCGACGACCCGACCCTGCAGGCGCGCGGCGCCATCCGCATCGTGGAGATCGGCGTCGGCACGGGAACCAACTTGGCCTACTATCCGACGGGCAGCAAGGTGATCTCGGTGGAGCCGAACCCGTACTTCGAGAACATCTTCAGGGAGAACCGCTGCGCCTTTCCCAACGTGGAGATCGAGCGGTTCGTGATAAGCGGCGCCGAGGATATGTCTTCCATACCGTCCGACAGTGTGGATTGCGTCGTGTCCACGCTGGTGCTTTGCTCCGTCGAGAACATGGCATTTGTGATACGAGAGATCAAGAGGATCCTTGTCAGGGTACGTACAGTGTGCGTGGTTATGGGATGATTTTTTTTAAAGCTAACTCGCAGTGACATCATCGTACGCGATAATCCAGCTGTCGGCGAGCACAATGTTCATATCTATAAACGTTGGGCGAGCATACCGATATGCCGAGCCAGTGGCGTAGCCAGACAGTGGTACACAAGCCCCGTGCTCCCCCCGGTTATTGTCAATGGCATACAGAACACCACATGACAATCGACTACCTCTGCCCCCCCCTTCATATCGAAGTGCCCCCCCTCCCCGAAAAAAATTTCTTGCTACGGGTCTCGAAGGTTGCAACAATTGATGCTCTCTCCGTCATTGGCTTGTCTGCGATCGGCCGTTTTTGATGCGACAACCTGATCTTGTTTTCGGGGTGACTTGTCACTTTACTTTCGCCACGTTTCATCGTTGTCTGACTATGAAGACACGACCGTCGTTGTAGCCCGTAGCAAGTGAAGCGCTGGGCAGCTAAGCACGCAGATGGACCCAGCATGGAGCAATTCGAGAAGCTGTTGGGATGGGACATTGCGCAATGCGATGAATGAACGCGAAGTAGTACACCCAGCAAACATTCGCCAGGGTCGCTTGGACCCATTTTCCCGATCGAACAAGGGCTCCAGATCATTATTTTTCTTTTGTACCGCGGGAGAAAGGAGTCGGAGAAAGAGATTTACCACGGCTGAAACAGGCACGCATCCATTCGGTTGCACCTTTTAAGGTGTCTTTTTGCTGTACACTCTTAGAAGATCGAGTATTTGAGGAGTATTTCTGTCACACAACTATAATGGTCATCTCGTGTCTAAGTCTCGCACTTTCCTCGCGTTATCCCCGCTATTTTCCGGTTACGAACGACATGCGCACTATCAGCATGGCGTAGCATTTTTGATAAGAAAATGCTGAGAGCTGGGTTTTCAAAAAAAAAAAAAAAAAACGCGAGCAGGCCGGATAACGACTACAGATGTGTGGCAGAAATACTCCCCAGATACTCGATTTCTTTCGTGGAGTGTAATAATACGACAAAAACTCACAGGTTCAGTTACTTTCCACGTGCTATTGAAGATTGGAATATGCTGCCAGAGTCTATAATTGGTTGTTCCTCGCTTACATCATTTGAACTGAATCTAAAACGTTTATTTTCCGAATAACAGTGACATATGTTTTTTTTTTGCGTGTGTGTGTACTTTTTGTTGGTTGCATGATCCTGCAGTAGTTGTCTTTCAAATCTTCAGCGCGGTGCAAAAGTGCCGCCTCAAATGCGTCATGTGCTGTTCTGCGCGTATGTATTGCATCGCATGTGTGTTCCATTTATGTATGTTATGTATAACTTCGAGTTGCTGGTCACAATAATACCGAGAAATTATCTCGAGACCTGTACGGTACTTCTTTTTTGCAAATAATTGTTTGTACTTCCACCCTGTAACGGCCCACTTCTGGGCTAACAGTATAAATAAATGAAATGAAATGAATGAATGAATGAAACGTCTGGTTGGTAGGCCCTTAGATGCCTGGAGCAACGCACCACGGGGGATCGGCACTGAAAAACGGACGGTACCTTATCTTAGAAATAGAATTGTTTTACCAGGCCGGCGAATGACATCTTTTTCTGTTCAGCCCTTGTATTGCTCCCGCCTCACCACACCCCGAAAGCTTTTGCAGTGCCTCCAGGGTCGGAGGTAGCTCACCGAGGTTTTGCACTGCCCCCGTGATCGGCCCACCGTCGACCAAGCTACATTGTCAAGCGAGGAATAGAGCTCATGTAAATACACTAGAGGGAACTCTGGCACTAGTGTCTACGGCAGCTGCCATGGGAGCTTAAATGCATGGCGCTTCAGCGAGAAATGCCGAGCATGATGCATGGAGGAAAGAAACAACGTGGCATGATGGGTAGTACATGGATCTGCCCAATTTTCGTACTCTATGCCCAGTTTGGCTTCGCGAGGCTTGAAGCTCCTTTGTCACGAAAACAACAGTCTGCAAATGTTCGGCAGTCACCACCTTCATTCACCTTTTAGGATAGATTGATTGATATGCGGGGTTTAACGTCCCAAAACCACTATATAATTATGAGAGACGCCGTAGTGGAGGGCTCCGAAAATTTTCACCACCTGGGGTTCTTTAACGTGCACCTTTTAGGATCACCATTTCAAATCGGGTCACGAAGTTCCATACGGTTTGTTCTTTTATTTGAAATAAAAATCAAACCACAGCAATAAACGAAGCCACATGTAAATGTATTCACTGCCCGCGAGCACGAAGACTAGGCTAATCTATGTAGTACCCATCATTCCCATTATAGAGGCTGGAAATTCCCATGGTCGTTGAACGATCACAGTGTCCCCTCTTGGTAATGGGCCTTTTCCGTGTAGGTAGTCTGCGCCTTCGCGCCGGCCTCGATATATATTCTAGTACGCTATAGCCTCGAGGAGGCACGCACCAGGATTTTTGGTGGCCAAACGTGACGACCCGTTTGGGGGTCTTCATGTGCGGCGGCGCTCACATGAGGGCTCCCTAACGACACGTGCGGACTGAGCGACATCTGGCGCCGCAAACATGCAAATGTTTGTCCCAATCACGGCCGGGCCAGACTGCACTTGCGCACGCTTGGGAGCGCGCAGGTGCAGTCTAGCCTAAAGTAACTGTCTATGGTCCCTACGGAGACCATATACAGTTACTCTAGGCCGTAGGGACCATATACAGTTACTCAAGTCAAGCCTAGAGTTACTGTATATTTAGGTAGCATATACAATATGCTACCTAAAGGTAGCATATAGAATAACTTTAGTCTAGCCCGGCCGTGTCTCAATTAGAGACGCGAACGCAGGCCTCCCAGATATACCGGCACGCAGCGGACAATTTCGGAATCCAAGAGCCACCACTTTTGATTTCAGCGATCTCCACTTGCGGTGTTGTTCTGACTAGGAAAAAGGTCCATTTTAGGAAACTCTCATGCGAGGACATCGCTATGACGTAATGATTACGTTACATTGACATCATGCAGTCTGGCAGTTTGTGGCGTCATGAGGTGACGTCACCAAGCTATGTTGATATTTCGCACCACTCACGTTGACACCTCCGACGTGCGACGCCAGTTATTTTCATCTTTATGATCACACTAACATGATGTGCACGTGCCTTGCATACTTTGAGGTCACCAACGGAGTGCGCTATATCAACGTGACGTGTCATTCTTGATCGGGGATTAGCGAATGCCGAGTTTTCAAAGAAGGAAAGCCAAATGTAGTTTGAAAGGGTAAACGCTTGGGCAGGTTGGTGGCAAATGACGCTCTTTGCCACTGTTGTCTCGTCCTTTCCCAATCGTTCTATGTGCTGTAAGCACTTTTTAAAATGAAAGCCAAACGATTGTTGTGTGGCAAGATACTCCCTAGAAGGGCGCGACTCGTACACTACGATGATAGTTATAGCGCGAGAACAAAACGACGACACAGAGACAAGAAGGACACGAAAGACACTACAAATGCAAAGGGCGTATTCGGTGTACCTTTATTCCCAACAATGCTAATCGTTATCTTCGCACGCGCCTTTCCTCGCGTTATCACCTCCACTTCCAGATGACCAAGGGGGATCGCGCTATCAGCGTCGCATAACATTCTCAACAGGAAACAGTCGAGAACCGAGCTTGCTAGAAAAGAAACGCAAGCGAATGCACGTGTTCAGTTGCAGGATTTCCAGCGCAACACCGCGGGAGGGAAAACCTGGAGCTTCAAAAGCCGGCAAAGCTTTCGCGAGACAGTGAGCGCGTGAAACGGAAACGTTGAAATACGCTCAAACATAAATCCCTTGAATAATTATTCAAGCACTGTGTGCAACAAACGACCTTCTTCACTATAATGTACAAAAACAAGCCTTAGCAGATGTGTTCAGACTTACTGGGATTTCCTGTGAAGGTTCGTGTACTGGAATGATTGACAATAGAAGCGAAGGTGGACGCATACTTGTACACTAGCTGTAAGGCTACAACATATGCCTTCTCATCTCTCTGCAACCTCTTTTCTCCCATTCATCCGTTCCCCAGTGCAGGGTAGCAAACCGGATGTGCGTCTGGTTAACCTCCCTGCTTTTCTTTGCATCTTTATCTCTCTCTCTCTATGCCAGCAGAATTAGGCACTTTTATAGGTGCGGAGCGAGCCATCAGCCTATTGAGGTATCAGCTAACGGGGGCGCCGCCATGAATTTTCTTCGGAGGTGGGATCAGCCACCATTTATGTATTTTCATGCATGCATTTGTATGTGTGTGTATATATATCCATGCGCAAAACTCAAAAAAAAAAAAAAATTAGGGGGATATGGTTTACAGCCGCGATAACCAGGGGTTATGCCGCTCGACTGCTGACCTGCAGGTCGCGGGATCGAATCCCGGCCGCATTTTCGATGGACGCGAAAATGCACGAGGCTCATGTGCTTAAGTTCAGATGCACGTTAAAGAACCCCAGGTGGTCTAAATCTGCGAGCTCTCCACTACAGCGTCACTCATAATCATGTTGTGGTTTCGGGTCATTAAACCCCATCGATTATTAGGGGGCTGAGGGTTTGAACGCCTAACCGATCCCCTAGCAACGCCTCCGCTAGAAAGATGCCTGTGACGTCACACGCTTTCCCATGGAGATGGGAGGTTCCTCGTGGTTGAGTTCTTTCTCCGCGAGGAGCGCATTTTCGATGGAGGCGGAAATGTTGTAGGCCCGTGTGCTCAGATTTGGGTGCACGTTAAAGAACCCCAGGTGGTCGAAATGTCCGGAGTCCTCCACTACGGCGTCTCTTATAATCATATGGTGGTTTTGGGACGTTAAACCCCACAAATCATGACCCCTACATCTCAAACACGTTGCACTGTAGTGAAAGTTTTCAGATCCCTTCGCCAGTTAGAATCCGTAACTTCAGATTCTAAGAATATAGTTGCCATTGTCGGAAATCAAACCATCTTCGCACCTTTTTTTTTTTTTTTTGCCGATATGAGCTTCCACCACTCTGAACTATGAAATGTCATTGAAAGGCCAATCTACCAGCACATGGCAATTATAGCAAACAAGCGATAGCACATGGCAATTATAGAAAACAATCGTCATCATTAAGCTGAGTACGCCTACTGGCAGGACAAAAAGCCTCTCGCATGTTTTTACAGATAATCCAGTTGTGTCCTCGTAACATTATGCCTTCTCGCACAATTGCCTTCTCTTGGAACCCTGTCTGTCACTCTTGGTGAGCAGCGGCTATCTTCCCTTCTCGCTTCATGACCTGCCCATGCACATTTATCCTTTAGTTTTTTACTAATATGTCCTTAACACATTTGTTCCCTGTCTGAATCAGCTTCCTTTCTGTGGTTCACTGCATCATCCTCATTTTATGTTTAGTTTAAGTAGACCACGACAAACAGTGCAAAAGGCTATGAATGATAAAGCTGGTTTTTGTTCCTTGATGCAGGGTGGCTGCTTCTACTATGTGGAACACATTGGCTACAAGGAAGGCACGTGGTCGCGCCGCCTGCAGCAGCTTGTACAGCCGTTATGGTCACTGGTCAGTGATGGATGCCAGTTGACCCGTGATGTGCCACAGTACGTGGAGTTTCTCGGCTTCCGGGAGAAGTACGAGACAATCCACTACCCACATGAGATGCCCTTCCTGGTACGGCCCACACTCGTTGGCAAGGCCATCAAATAGACAGCATGGTTATGTACTGCATTGTTTGCAGAATGGCAACGCATCGCCTGTGTCAGGCCACAGCGATTTGCGTGTAAACCGCATTGCTTCTGCAGGACTCCAGAGTGCCACTGAATCCCATCGCCGTTCTAAGCAGTGCTGAAATGTGCGGCCAATACTGCGTCTGCAATGCGATTCCGACTTCACACTGTGTACCACATTGATTTCCCCTTCTCATAAACTGTTTGAATTGAGTGTAATTCACGATTGTAATTTTGTTGACAAGACGGTTGAAGACCACTTCCACGGAACAAAAAAAGTAATTAAAGATTGGTGTGGCCGGTATAGCAGACCGGGTGTCTATTTCAAGCTCATGCATGGTCGTGCTTACTTCTTACTATTTTGCGACCCTAAGAATACCACATCATTTCCAAGGAAAAAAAAAAAAGATGCTTCCAGAAATACTAGCGAGTCAGTTTACCATTCTCTGCCTAATAGCAGGGGGCATGTTGTGGATGACCTGCATAGCTAGAGCTCTGACAGTATGGTGCGCTACTTTTGGTCACTGTTTTTGAGAGTATGTGAGGCTTGTAATATTACATCGTGTTGTGAGAGGTATACAAAATACAGTGTAGCTGAACAGTTTGCATGTGAAGACTAAACTCTGCATTTCACATAATTACAGAGGTGAACGCACACTTCAGCACAAAATTCCTGCCGCTGCAAGCTATTTAAAACAGACGACCTGCACTACGGTATCTTTCCAAATGCCATACCATGTTCACTTAGCTTCAACCTTACAGCTGTGTTACTTTGGTTTGTAGATGCATATGTCAGTTACAGTTTACTAAATGAAAATGCAATATAGATCATAAGTGGATTGCATGGAAATTATTAATGTGCATTGTTTTGTTATGAGTGCTAAGTATGTGGTGTCTTAAGCGTCTGTTCTGAAGTGGTTTGTCAATATCCGTATGCGTGAACCCGCATTGATGACTACCAAAGACAAACTACATGCGAGTAATTATGAACAATCTATAGTGTGTTTTCATCTGAAAGGTAATTTTTACTATTTATGTAAAATAGTACTTTATAATATATAAATGCTTTGGACATTTTCTGTTTATGCATTCCTTATTTTATATTAACAATTTATATGAACAATATTGGTCCACCAGGATGATAGCTGTGCTTTTGTCTAAAAGCTTGAGAACTAACATGTGATTCTCTGGTAGTGCAACTGCATTGCACTTGGGGCGAAATGTTAAAACATAGTGCACATTGATTTGGGGACATCTTGAACAAGGCCAGGTGGCCAAAGTTAATCTGGCTTTGGTGTATAAAAAAACTGGTTAGACAACAATTACTAGCCTAGAGTATTTGTAAAATGTGTGTTTGAAAATCTAGCTACCAATGAAACATCTTCAACAAACAGCATTTTACTGATTCAATTTATTGTACGTACCAACAAATAATATCATGAAATGCAAGTACCCACAGATGCTGGATTGTAGTGCTCTGAAAAAATGCTCTAATTTATATTGAATTTTGTAGAAGAACTTGACAAATGATAAAGCTTCAGAGAAATATGTGACCGATTGTAACAAAGATGTTTACTTTTACAAAGCAAGTAAACTAGCAGAGTGTTTCAAGAATTTAGTGGCTGTGCATGCCTACTGAAAAAAACCGTGGACTGTGTGCATAAAGTGCACAGAACATAGTATCATGTTCCTATATTTGTACAATCTAGTAAACTTGTGCTTCAAATGATTTTATTACAAAAGAGCACTGTAATACAACGAAACAAATGCTACAATAAAAACACTTTTTTTAATAAAACATGTGCCGGTGGTTAGGATACCAAAACACTCTTGAGTGCTAAGGAAATATATTGATATTGAAGGGAAGCATTGCACGAAATTCAGCCAAGAATCTGTACACCAAGAATAGCGATAAGAACAAAGGATAAAATATCTAATTAAAAGAGCTTATATCTGAGCTAATTTGCACTACAGTGGTTTATAACAGTAATAAAGTAAGAAATGTTACACAACACATCTATGTTGTCAGCTTTGACAATGCATACTGTGACCAAGACAAAACTAGCTTCACAAGCTTCATGCACCACAGTCGCACCGTCAAGGAAGGGCACGGAATGTGGTCAATACAAAATACAAGTGTTGACACAAACAACATTTATAGGCAGAATACTGTTCCCAGTTAACAAACAGAGAAATAGGATGGTGAAATGAAACAAAGGCACAAACTTATCACAACATTAAGCGCTTGATCTGTGCTCAAAATATAGGAAAATGAGCAGGTTCCTTAATATGTACAATAAATTCTGGCTCTCGTAGAGTAGTCCGAAGCAATATTTCTCTTTTGGTAGTCCAATCAACAAGCACCAAAGATAGTGTAAGACCTTGGCGATCGATTTTGTTATTATATAATTAGGCTAGCAACTGCCACGATGTTGTACACTAGAAACATTGAAGAAAGATTGCCAAATGCATATATATCTTGTTATACAACTGGTGCTGTGAATGATGGCCCATTTCCTTCCTTGTTTAATCATGTTTTTCAGTGCTACAAGTTTTTGAAGAGACAACCAGCATTAATTGAACTGATAAGCATCGCATGAAGAAAGCTAACGCTGTGGTATCTGGTAACCTAAATACAACGTGCACTCACAGTCAGAGGCATGGCTTATACTTGTCACACGAGGCAACTTAAGTGCACTTTGGGTGAGTGTACTTACGCTTACAAAGTGTCATTTTGGCAGTTGGCTGCTACACGACAAAACAAAGTGTACTTTGGAAATGATGACAGTGGCAATTGCTGGGTTTGTAGCGCAATGTATATTTGTTACGTCGGACCACGTTGTCTTCGTGGAAGTAGCACCAGTGGCACACGCCATCGTAAACTGTGGAGAACGACTTGCCTACACATTTGCAAGTGTGCCTGAAAGCAAACAACGCGATTGATGCAGCCATAGCACAGCATGTGCTGCCGCAACCCCCCTGGCGGACGTGGCCGCAAACTGCCCGAGAGTGCACGTAGCAAGAACAGTTGTTGATTTACGACTTGTTTTAATACATAGCAGCATCCCTTATAACGAAAACAATTTATATGTAGTATAAGCGGCGCTTTAGGCAACAGCGTATTTCTGTGCAAGCCACTGGTACTGAGGCTACACACGTCGTAGCAGAGAAGTGAGATTGGGGAACGCACTAGCCAGCAAGTGTACTTTTCAGCGAGTGACACTTAATTTTGCCCGTGTGACACCGCGCAAATGACACTTGCTGCTAAGTGTACTCACTCGAAGTGCACTTAAGTTGCCACGTGTGACAGGGGTATTACTTAGTAACTTTAGCTGTAGATTGTTTTTCAGGAATTCACAAAGCTTGGTGAGACAGCCACAGTGAAAGATACTGTGCCAGAAAATAGAGTTTGGCATAATAACACAGCTCTTCATGCTAATTCTAGCTAAGCTTTGCCAAACATTTGCGCTAACGTTCCAGTTTATGTTCCCCTTGGTATCCTCCCAACGGTAACAGTCATTGAAAAAGTTATGCTCCAAGTTAATGTGCATACAAATTTAAATATCACAAAATACATTTTTGGTGATGTTTCATGCACAATGTCCTTTCTATACAAAGTGCATGTTGCCTTGTGGTCATCTCACTCTATACAACATTGGCAAGCACAATAGATAACCCAAATGGTGAGGTAGCAAAACAGATGTATCTAGGGCTCTCCTACTTCTCGGGTGATCAAACATAAGTACTAGACACCATACCACACTTAAAGGAACATTAGAGGCAAACAATCCCATTTGACCCCCCTTAGCGAACATTCCAGTTCAAAAGATCTCGTGGTTAGTTCCAGTTGTGTTTGAAGGATTGCCCGATATCTGAAGTGAGAGCTTAACTTTCAATATACCTAATCTGCTAAAATAAAACATAATGCCATACACTACAGTACAGCAGCAATTGAGTGCTGGAGTTGCAGTGCAATGCTGCATACACTTATACAAACCACTGGAAAGCAAGTTCACAGTTTATGACGACAAAAACTTCGCCTGGATTTGACCAGTGGAAATGATGGTTTGTATAACTTTATCGAGATACTTTTCTTTGGATATTAAGAGGGCATCCTTGTCACAGGTGATAAGGACTTGAGGCAGAGTTGACCTGGTTATGAAAAACTACTTCATAGACTTTGCAAGGCCCAGAAGGTCACACAAGGCATGCATGCCGACGGGCTGGTCTGGTCTTCACTGTTGTGAAAGAAGATTCATTATTTCACAATGATAAGCAGATTCATAGCTATGTTATTTATTATGTAATCTATGTGCTATTTTATAGCCTAATTGATTGCCTCCAATGGTCAGTTCAAATGCAACCCGTGGCAGATCAAGAGTAATCTTGGAAGCCCAACAGTTACAAGAGCTAGGGAAAAATAGTGTCGGCATTACTTGTAATATATTGTCACGGATAAAATGATCAAACGAGCTTTTTTTCATAGAGTAACAAGGTGCAGAGCAGGAAACATGTGATAAAGGCAAATATGGCAATTATTTAAACACACCGAGAATGGGAGCTGCGAGTCAGTACAACTGCAGCCAGGAGTTAAGAAGGCATTGGCTGTACGAGGATACTTTGAAACTCTGTGACGAGTCGACCCTTCTGGCACCTTCTAGAGAGTCTGCTTATCCAGCTGCCTTCTACAAGAACGCCGCTTGTGATGGGAGTCCGTGTTCTGCCTGGACTGTCACCGTTGAGCCTAATCGATAATTGTTCTCCAATAAACTCTTTTACAGCTGTAATAATGCAGTTCCTCATGTAGGCACACCTAAATTATGTTATACTATAAAGACATCCTACACACACTTCCTAAATTCGATACTTTTTAATCGATATCGATGGTGAGTGTTCTAGAATGGCTTTAGTTAAATTAATTTAAAGTGTTAGACACGAAGCCCCACATACTGTTTTTTTTTTTCATCCTGAAATGCTCATCCTCCACACCATTTCCTTATCATAACACACATTGAGCAAAAGGCACAAGGACTCCGCCTTGAACATTCAACAACTACACTTTGCTGTACAACCTCTGAAATATACACTAAATATAGGTACTTGATTAATTTACAAGAGTGCTGCAAGTAAACAAAAAAGGCAAGGCTACTACCGGTACTTTGCATATCGCTGTATCTCCAAGTTACGCTTATTCGTACACGCTCGTACTGCAGACATTTGATAGCATACATCCCGAAGGCACTTGTCACGTCAAAAATAAAAATGAAGCGAAAAGGATAAAAAAAAATGGAGGCTGTCATACGTCGCCTCACTACAAATCGTTCTGCTCTCCGTTCCCGGACGACTTCTTGTGGTACGCCGTCTCCAGGAACTCGAAGACGGACGCGAAGCTGGACCACGACGTCATTTCGTGGGTGACCGTGCCAGCAGAGACGCGCTTGACGTCAACGGTGCCGTCGTGTCGTTCCCTGAGGGGCCGATCGAGGGGTTCCGGACTGGACACCCAATTCCTCCCAATCTGGCTGAAGAGCTGCGCGACGCGCGGGTGCGACTTCTGGCGCGCGAAGCTGTGGACGGAGTCCGTCAGGGCGACGGCGAAGACGCGAGACGAGAACGATGCGAAGAACTCGGTTGCCACGTTGACGGCGACGACACCTCCGAAACTGTGCGCCACGACGGCTACGTGACGCGCGGGCGCCCGTTTTTCGACGATGTGTTCCCAAACGTAGCGGCCGTGTTTCTCGGCAGTTTCACAGTCTCGCACTGGAACGCGCACGCCGTCGATTACGCGGTGAGTATCGTTAGTGTTAAGCACAATGACGGCGTAACCGAGCCCCTGCGCTCGCCGAATGTAAGGCAGCTGAGTGCCTTTTTTGAGCGAGTCGTTGATGATGAGCCGCCGCGACCACTGACCGGCTCGCACGACGCCGCTGCCATGTATTAAAATCAACAAGCGGTCCTTGTTAGTGAACGCGTCTTCAGACACGAATATAAAAGATCTCGGCTCGTCCTCATGCGCGTTGACGGGCACGGTGACTCGCGTCAAGTGCGTCTCTTGCTCCAAGAGCTGGTAAACGTGCTCGGTGATAACGTCCCCCAGAGCTTCGTAGCGCCGCTGGTTGTAGCCGTGGTCGTTCGAGCGTACATAAAACTGGTAAGGCTCACCGGTCTTAAGGTGCCTCAGCTGGCCAAAATCGTTGAAGAAGTATCCGAAGTCGGCGATCGTCGATGGGAACGGAGAAGAGTCGTCGTCTTCGACGTCCGTGGCTTGACGTACGAGAGACCGTTTTCGCGGGAATCCGTCATTGGTTCCAGAGTCCGGCGCACCGTGTTTTTGGGTGGACATCATTCGAACAGCTTTAAACCACGCCAAGAACCGCAATTTGTGTGTCCGTAGGGCAGGTATCCAGCTTCGGTGCAAAACGTGAACTTTGGTTATCGAACCACTCACGTCACACTTTACTTAATTTGCGCGCAAATTGTTCACGCCAAACCCACTCCAGTGGTAAAGTGAGCTTGGCTTGAGTTGTCTGTGCTCAGTGCTGGGCTTGGATTCGAAATGGATTCTAAATTTTGTTAGTGTCGCTCGCACTTGCACTGCTTCACATTATATCAGCACTGGGAAGCGTCGAAACAAAAACCAACCTTGATTTTAAAAAACAAAACACGATAACAAGTTATTGAAACACGAATGGTTTCAGTTAGCACGCTATATATCAACATAGCAGATATTCCGCGGCTGTCATTATGTGAAAACGTACTGACTGCGCTAACTAACACAACTCAAATAAATTCCTCGTCATTGCTTCGTTTTTATTGTTTTTAGGTAAATTGCATTATAAAAGCGTCTTCAGTTTCTCTAACATTTTAGTGCACTCAAGCTCAATTGTCATACGAGGATTGACGTAACAGAGACAAGAACATCACCCGAACGTCGCTTTAAGTGCTTTGTTTCGCAAGAATGACTGCGTTACAAGTGTATATAAGCAACAATGTAGTGAGGTTTAGGAAATACCATTTTGTCAGCAATATCGCCGCTTTGTCGCAAGCTATCCACTTTATCAACGGCGTATTTGTATACTGCGTGAAATTATTTTTAAACCACGACACGGCACACTGCAGAGGCGGACAAAACCTCGGTGATACGATCGCGGCTCAAACGAATTTCGCGGAGATCCCAGCCGAGACCCACCAGCCCACAATGTAATTAAGTACGGTTGCTGCGAAGCGACTTTCACCCCGCGACATTTCGTACGAACATACAACACCGCGCTGGTGCGAACAGGTGCTACCCCTGCTACCCCGGGCCAGGAAGCCTACAGGTGTGCGCATGCGCATGGCGCCGCCATTTCGTCAGAATAAACCGTGAACAGAACATCAAAGGACGCGTCTTAGCCTCCAAGATAGTGCGCACGAATCTTAGAGGCCTTAATACGTACGCGTTCGTGTGCTTTCGCGATTAGATTGCAGATAACGGTGACGCCACCTTTTTTTTTCTTTTCCTGACACGTCGATGCGTGCGGCCGTCGTTGTACTGCATTTACACGTGCCTGCCACGACGATGCAAGCCACGGCAAAAAGAGAGAGAGAGAGAGAGAGAAGTCATTATCCACCCTCCGAGTGATCTGAAGACGCCGCTGCTACGTAGTTCCGCAGTCACCCCTGAGGATTCTCTCGCAGGATTTCAAGCTGGACGGTCGTGCCCTTGCGATCTCCGACGCCAGCGTAGCTCCCGCCGACTGGTTCGCCCTCCGCGGTCTCCTGACGCCGTGCAGCTCTCGCATTGTGGTGCCCCGCCCTTGGACTGCTTCGACCGGATCCCCACTTTCCTATCTCCTTCTATTTTCCGTCGCTTGCCTCTTTATTTCTTCATGTATTTCCTTCTATTCTTTTTATCCCTCCTTTCCCCCACTCCTATAAGGCACTGCGCCGTGTCGCCTATAGGCAGACAGAAATTAAATGCCTTTTTCCTCTTCCTTACGAACCACTACCACCAGTCACCCCTGAGGAAAAAACCAAGTCGGTTTCGAAACGTCGGGTTTCTTCAAAACTTTCTAAATCATCTCCCATGTCCTCCACCTATGAAAAGTGGACGAGGACTGAAAGATGAAGCGATTGTCTTCGCGAAAAACATGCACGAATGTTGTGGACTCGCACACGTTTCAACTCTCTCATTGTGTGGGCACGGCTGCAAATCTACCGAAGAATATGGTCAGCACCACTGCAATAAGAAAATAATCGCAACAAAGGACAGCGGTTCTGAAAATTTCAAAGCTATATATCACATGCAGTGTTTTTAAGTTACTTTTGCCGCAGTACAGTACTGTTGTGCAAAAAAGCGCACTAAAAATTAGAAAGGAGCTTTTACGCATCAGAAGTCTTAACACGCCTGGTTCATTAATTGTGCACTAGCGCGCGGGCGGCATATTTACGAGAGAAAGTATGATCATTGACGTATAAAAAACTCACTGGCAATCACTGACATCTGCTTGTGACGTTTCTACTTCACTGAGAAACAAGTGAAAACGTACAACAGCTTTGTTTTTTTGTTTTGTTTGCCAGCTCTTTTTCATATTTTATTGTGATGCAAATTTCAGATGAAATGAATATTTTTGGTGACCCCACTAGGATCGTATCACCGATGTTTTACTGCATATGACCACGTGAGGTTCTCTTAGTGTACTAAAATACACGCAAAATCCGGAAAGGACAGGCGAAGTGCAAATACCTCGCCGGTGCATGCAACGAACAAAACGGAGATACACGAAGGACTTGTTGAGGAAAAATGAATGTCATTGAGGAAGCATGGTGGGGAAGCTGAATGAAGAAAACATGAGCTTGACGAAAGAGGATGGCGATCAAATCTGGAAATAAAACATGTGGAGAGAAAGCACGGGGAGAGAAACAAATAAGGAAAAAATGGAGAGGCACGAGGCATGTAGGAATGGATGTTTCAACTTTACTAACGCGAAACCTGGAGAGTGGCGAAGCATATGCATGCAGAGTTTTGAAGGATATTCCTTTGATTGAGTGCTTTCAGAGAGATTTCTTCGAGACACTAGTGCTTGGATCGCCTAGTAGGGAAAAGCATTTGACTCTTGCCACCGTTTGACTCTTGACTTCGCAGCCGAGATTCAGTCATCGATGTAAATTTTTCCTGTGGCTTACACTACGTCGGCTCGATTCTTGGCCATGGTGTCCTTACTATGATATTTAAGGGGCCCATACTAAACCACCTCTACTATATATATTGTTACACGTGTTGATTATATCTATCTATCTATCTATCTATCTATCTATCTATCTATCTATCTATCTATCTATCTATCTATCTATCTATCTATCTATCTATCTATATATATATATATATATATATATATATATATATATATATATATATATATATATATATATATATATATATATATATATATATATATATATATATATATATATATATATATATATATATATATATATATATATATAGCGGGGTTACACATGTTTTGTTATCCAAATGTGCCGCCATTCACACACAGTTTCGCTCTTTTGCTTCACCCCGTTCGCCAGGTTGCCTCTCCTCCTCACCGAGTGCTCCTTCTCGAGTGAGAGGAGGAAAAGCAGCGAGTATGCATGCTGACGGGCAGACGAACGGTTCTTCTAGTGGCTGACATGACCAGGTGCGCGCAGTGACGTCGGAGAGGCGCTGCTGATCATGACGGCATCATGAACTCGCTCGCGTATCTGCTTGAAATGTTCCATCCGTCCGTCCGTGCGTCCGGATGGGCGGACGGACAGACGGATGGGTAGAAGCGCGGACGGACGCATGGACAAACGAACGGAAGCATGCATGGGCAGACGGACGAATCCATTCATTCATCCATCCATCCATCCATCCATCCATCCATCCATCCATCCATCCATCCATCCATCCATCCATCCATCCATCAATGAATCAATCAATCATATTTGATGCGCAAATATTCCTTGAATATACCCGTGTAATGATATCTTTACTATAAGTTTGCGATATGTTCACATGCTGCTTCAAAAAAAAAACGCGAGAAGCGCGCTTCTCATGACTTTCACAGTCATGTGAATATTTTGAAACCATGCTGCTTCTAGAGCATTGATATAATTTTGTAGTGATTGATCACGTGAATGCAGATCATTATTTGTCACGTAAGAAAGCAATGTCATCCACATACACGTATAACTTAATACACTGACGTGGAGGAATCGAGATTGTCAATATCTCGAATAAAACTGGCTACAGCACAGCTCCCTGTTAGGGTTTAGGGGCCCCTCCAGCGCAGTACCGGCCTGTACAGAACCTAGGAAGTGACTACCGCCGCAACTTTCAAATCCCGAAACATTGTGTAAACACATACACATACTCTTATTTTCCTGGAATTATAAAAAAGCGCGTGAAATTGTGAAACTTGAATTCAAAACAACAGAATATTTTAAAGTAAATCTTCCTGAATGATAGCTCTTTTTCGTAATTTGATTGAATGTACCGAATCACACAAATTTCATGTGACATGTAGAAACTAGTATGGTGATGCTTAATGTTTTGCAGTGAATGATGTATGGATAATGTAGGTGGGAGAGCAATATAATGATGTAATTTTTTTGTATTTTTTGACTATGCATTGCTTCTTTATGTTTGACATGATAGTTATGTGAGATTTTGTTTACTGTTTATATGAAATGACACATTGTGTTTATGCAGATTTTTTGTATAAGCTGTGCCTTGCTTCTTCGCCCACAGCACATATCCCACCGCATTGACCACCATCACAAAGTAGGCGTCTCTTCGTGCAACACAAAAACTTCAATACATTTTGCCTTGCTCATCAAAGGTGTGGAACAGACTTCCCGGTGACATTGTTGCTATTAGCGATAACAACTTGTTCCGTGATTCATTAACTAACATTGTGTAATAAGTTCTTGTTGCAAAAGCTAGCATTGTATAATTAGGTTCTGTGTTGTATTAGCTAACATGTAATATTATATAGTGTATTAGCAGACATTGTATTTTAAGAGATTTATTTGTACGATCTAACTGTATTCACTGCTTTTTGTTCATTTAAATCTTTTTTGTAAATAACCCACTCCCCTCTGTTATGCCATTTGGCCCTGAGGGTAAAATAAATAAATTAATTAATAGATAAACAAAGATTAGATTTATGACCACCCCCCCCACCCCTGTAATGGCCCAATCAGCCAACAGTACCTGGAAATAAATAAATAAAATAAATAAATAAAATTTTTTACAATACTTTTAATGTTTGTTGATGCGTTGAAATGTTGGTGCTGACAGTGCATATGCTTGCGAATATTGTGTACCTTTCTTACGGCTTGCTCGATGCGATGGTGCTTTTTCTGCATAGTAGCATTATTTCCGAAGAAACGCAATACACTGCATTGTATTTCCAAATTTTCAATAGGGAGGTAATGCATTACTTCAACCCGCCTCTTTAGTTGATTTATAATGCTTTTAGCTACGGCTGTCTGAATGAACACGATTCATTTGTAAAATGGGCGTGCATTTTTTTTCCCGCAAGAACTGCCAACAGATGAACGTATTTGCAAATAGCCGCGCCCGCAGCCTATTTCGCCCTAAACAACGGCTAACGAAAGCTCTGCCATTTAACAGTAGAAGAAACATCCGCCCTTCGCACAAAAATGCTTAAACCGAAACTGAAACCACTGTGGCGTGATGTCAAGGCCGGAAAATGAACCTTGTGACCGTTTAATGCTGGCCGCTAGAAGCGCTAGCAGTCATGTGGGCCGCATGGTTCAATGACAGCGTCCGCTCTTAACGCGTTGGCTGCGAACATCTCGAGCGATGATGGTGCGCGTGGAGAACGTGACAGTCGGTGCTGCCAAGAAGAAACGGAACAGAACCTGACTCTGTCGCACGTATACTTGTCCTTGGCCTTTTCGAGCTGGACAAAGCCATGTTTCGCATCTCGCTGCTGACGATCGCGTGGTACCTCACTGTGGGGGCGGTGCTGCCAGCCGCCCTGCTGCTGCTGGTGCTGCAGCGCAGTCACTGCTGCCGCAAGCTGTTCGCCAATTGGGTCTTCTACCCGCTGCTCAACACGCTCATCAAGGACTCCTTCGAGGGCATCCGGAGGGAGATCCTGTACGAGCTCAACGACCTCGTCTCGCACGACCCAGAGCTGCGGAAGGAGGACGCCATCCGCGTGCTCGAAGTCAACGTTGGGTCCGGACGAAACTTCGACCACATGTTCAGGAAGATCAGGTAACCACCGTGGTATACCTTCGACAAGTACTCTCACGGCAGCAAGTCGCGACAGACTGGCTTTGATCTTCCAGAAGCACAGCTAAGATAGAGAACAGCGTGCAGTGTCAATGGCAGCATGAAACGTGACGAGGGCATCGATCGGGAGTGAAATGCGCCTGTATCTTTCCTTCTTTGTTTACGATACCACGACGCATGCGCCATTCTCCGAGCTGAAAAGTTGCAAAGCGCCTCTTGATCTCGGAGGCTTTCGCTCAGGCCGAATCTTTTCCGGGCTCCCACCAAAACGGCAAGAGGCAGAGCATGCGAATGAAAGGCGCATTTCATCAGCGAATTTCGCCCGTTAAGTTTCGAGTGAACCTTCTTTTCTTCTCGTCCTAAACTTTTCATAGTTATTCAACTTTGATGTCGTCTCGAAGTGCCCATGTATAACCGTCACCCCCGGAAGCTTTTCAGGCCTGCGCGTCACGTGACGTGACGTCGACGACGTCACATCGCGCCGGCCGGCCGGCCGCCCTTCGCTGGGTGGCTGCGCCAGCCGCGAGCGCCCTTCACGCCTACCGACTCGGGCGAGGTTCCTTGACACCATGTCCGCACGATTTATCAAGGTATCCATTGATTGTATGGTTTAACGCGCCGACGCAACGCAGGCGATGAAGCGCGCCGTAGGGTAGAGCTCAGCATCAAGTTTTACTACCTGGGAATCTTTATTGTGTGCCGAAATCTCGTACACACGGGCGTTTTTGCTTTTCGCCTCCATCAGAAATGCGGCCGCCGCAGCCGGGTATCGAAACTGCGCCCTAGTGCTCAGCAGCGCTACGCCTTAGCCACTGAGCCACCGTTGCGGGGGAACTTATCAAGGTATCAAGAAATAATGAATATCGTGAATGGAATAATGCGTATTTATTTATCACAGCCAGACGCCGTCTGTACAAATATCACAGTGCACATTGTTCTCGGTCCAGGCAGACGACAGGCAACACAAGATGTTGCCCTTAATGCTGAAAATATGCCAAAAGTACAAAACACGATATCTTGCCACATAAAACTCAGAAAACAAAACAGATTGTAACAGCAAAAACATCCCCGAGCTTTGGAACAGAAAAAGCACACTTTCATTTAAATTGTAGGTTAGAGGAAAACATACCATTCGTTTATCATAGTAGCAGTAGCAACACAAGGTATCAGGTTCAAACACTTGCCAAAAATACAATACAAAAGAACACTGGTGACTAAATTGTGGTCCACAGCATGATAAATGACAGAAAGAAAAGTAATTGTACTGCCACAGGTAGGTGCATGTCCTAGGGAAAAAATCAAACAAAATCTAAGAAAAAAAACAAATCACAGTGCACAACATGTCTGTACACAGAGTGCACAAGGAAAGTGTACACAGCTTAGGTACCAAAACGGACTGTACAACTGCTACAGTGGGCACCGAGGCAGTTCGAGTTAAAAAAAAAAGAAAAAAGTACAGCACCTTTAAAAGCTAACAACTTGTAAAGAGATACAAAACTGGAAACAAGGCTCAAACAAGGGAATGTATTGCTTGAGCCAGGTGGCAATAAGTGCAGCGCTCCTCAGACAGCATCGACAGGTTGTTCAAAATTTCCAACAAGGAACTTACTTTTTGAACTGAGTCTGGTACAACAGCGCTACCAAGGTTCTTGATTGGTGAACCTTGATAGCAGGCAAAGACTTCAAGGTTTGCAAACACGGTCAATGACGCATTCAAACAAGGTTCACGATAGTCGATAATGTTCAAAAACATGGAGCACTCTTCTTTATGAATCACAGTCCACTTTGGAGACACTGACACCCCTTGCAGGCGAGCCCTTAGTTCTTCGAGGGACGAAAACCGGTCTCGTTTTTGCTCCGCTTCATATGACGCCAGCGACTTTTCTACAGCACGGGCGAGTTGGGAGGCTTCTTGTCGGCTCCTCTTGGCGTCAGGGGTTTCTCTCGTGCTCTGGTCTCGTACTGATAGGTAGGACGGACAGCCGGAAAATACCGTTGGGACAGATCCAGGACGCAACCGTGGTACTGGGAGTGCAACTTCAATAACTCTCCCTGTCCTTGGATCCGTCTACGATGTCGTCTTCTCAATGCATGAAGCGTCGAAATGATTCGCGCACACCTGCAAAAGCGTTTCAAGAACGTCTGAGACGCCACTTCTCAAAAGAAAAAAATGCGCTCCCGTTTGCATGACCGCGTTTACAGTCCGTGTAGCTAAAACAAAGTCTACCTACGTTTCGCAAGCATCTAAATAAAAGCGCTGCGCTAAGCGGTACAAGCAACATGAAAGGAAACACGGGAGCGTGGTGTCACTGCACTCCACGAAGCGCTTCCACCGAGAGCTTGCAAGAATGGACGACACCACGGCACTGTTAGTGAATAAAGCGCAGCTGACCATCCTTGCTGCGAACGCTGCTGGCGTCAGCGCTTCGCGAGGCCCGGCGGCCACACGCTCAAGTATTTCCCATCATAGGTGATTTCTACCCGAACAAGCAACGACAAGCTAAGAACAGGAGCATCTCAAATTCTTACCTTAGTGCACGAAGTCGGCACGAAGTCCTTCCTAGGAATGGCGCGTAGCCATTGTTTGAGAGCGTCGGCGTCTTTAGGGAAGGAAAACACTTGTATCTTCTTTCCTGTTTTGTAGTTGCCGGTGCATCCGGGTACACAACACTTATTCGGCATTGTCGCATCACTCCAGCATCACGCACGGAAACGAAATTGCCGCAAAACAACAACGGAAAGCAACAAACGTGAAACACCGTCAACACCACGCCGCCGAACCGTCACCACCGCCGCCCGCGCTGCGCTCGCTGCCGCTGCGGCTTCCCCGAGAGTCGGCCGGCCGGAAATGACGTCAAATTGCTGGGCGCAGGCCTGAAAAGATTTTCCGGGGGTGACGGTATAACCCCAAGGATAATGTTATTGCGCATTTCGCATTGTAGAGAAGCGCTACACTGCACGAGCCTGTAAGGACCGCAGACCTTTATTTGGAACAGCGCATGTTGGAAGAGGATACGGTAGTAATGATAGCACTCACTGCGACTCGGCGTAACAAGCAGAAGTCACAGCCATGTAACACCGTTAGACAATAGTATCAATACCATAATGTAACTATTTATCAATCTAACTCTATGATGGTATGCTATCTAATGAGGGGGCCTCGTGTGAATGACACACGCTTCAACAACTTAACTGCGTATGCATGGTGCTCAAGGAGCTGAAGAGTTCCTGTAGCCTAGCATGTCGCCGATAAAGCTCCTGAAGCTTTGAAGTATGGTTGCAAGCTTATCGAGATCTTCGCGATGTTGCCGTTGTGTTCCTAAGTGCTGTTACATTGTATATGGACGAGCTTTGAAATGATAAGTGCAGAGCACGTGCTCCTGCTGCAGGTACGTGGCAGTAGACCGGACATCGACTGCCCGGTCGATGTTTCTTCGGCGCCAGAGCCAGTTCGAGCACATCGTGCTGGAGCAGTGGCTGCTGATCGGTGGCGAGGACCTGGCCCAGGTGCCGGACAACCACGTGGACGCGGTCATTGCTACGCACGTGCTTTGCAGCGTCAACGACACCCGCAAGCTGGTCAGCGAGTGCCGAAGAGTCCTTGCTCCTGTGAGAAACACTGCTTACTTGAAGTACGCAGGCTACACGCAAAACTACACGGTCATCTGTCCTGAACCGTACGGTTCCGACAAACTGGTTTCATTTACACTTCAACTTGTCAGAAGTGTGACTCGCTATAACAGTTTAAGACTTATATCAGCTGATTCACCTTCGTAACCGACTCGTAACACATATGTTTTTTCTCCAAGACTGACCATTGCGCATTATGACGAAAGGAGAACAGATCATGATAGAGTGATGATTAAAGGCACCTTTTCTAGTACCAGAAACTTTTACCGTGAAGAAACGTGTCCTTCACGAGGTTGATTTATATGCATTAAAGACTGTGTTACGTAGGTGGTGAAATCAGCACATTAGCCTTTGATTTTACTGCTATCGCTATTAGCGGATATTTGAGAAGTAAGCATTTTTGCCTTGCAAATGCGGAGCTTGCGAAACAATAGAGAATGACAAGCTTCTGGACATTCTGTGTTTGTGTACCTTTGAGGTAAGTCAGCGCAAACCAATCTACTGTTCGGAACAATTTTGTTTCATTTTGCACATAATGCGCCTCTCACCTTTTCGTGCAATTGACGCAAGGGTGGCAAGCTGCTCTTCATGGAGCACGTGGCCTGTCCGCGGGACTCGTGGGTCTATCAGCTGCAGCTGTTCCTGGACCCGCTGTGGCAGCTGCTCACGTGTGGCTGCCACCTGAGTCGCGACACCAGCTCCGCCATCGTCGAGGGTGGCTTCCGCGAGGTGTGCCTCAAGGAGGTGTACCTGCCTATCCTGACGCTGATTAACCGGCAAGTCTACGGAGTGGCCACCAAATCGGGCGCACCAGGCGCCGTGTACCGGATGAACAGCCGGCGCATGCCCCCGCCGCTGCTCTCCAGGCATGCTAGACCCGCTCAGTCGAAATCGGTGGTGTCCGAGGAACAGCCTTCGGAGAGCCTGGGGTCGGAGGCGGGACCACTAGCTGTTGCAGTCCCATCGACAGCGTAGTCGTGAGGGCCGCGTCATTAAGTAACGGTGTTATTAAAACTCATGTCTGTCCACGCAACGGAAGCTTGCACTATACACTTCTGCAGAAGCTTTGTGTGGGGCTTGCACTCTGGCAACGCCAAGACCTTTTACTATTGGCGGGAAAGTTTATCCATCCATCCATCCATCCACCCACCCACCCACCCACCCACCCACCCACCCACCCACCCACCCACCCACCCACCCATCCATCTATCTATCTATCTATCTATCTATCTATCTATCTATCTATCTATCTATCTATCTATCTATCTATCTATCTATCTATCTATCTATCTATCTATCTATCTATCTATCTATCTATCTATCTATCTATCTATCTATCTATCTATCTATCTATCTATCTATCTATCTATCTATCTATCTATCTATCTATCTATCTATCTATCTATCTATCTATCTATCTATCTATCTATCTATCTATCTATCTATCTATCTATCTATCTATCTATCTATCTATCTATCTATCTATCTATCTATCTATCTATCTATCTATCTATCTATCTATCTATCTATCTATCTATCTATCTATCTGCCTACGACCTTTAGCTCCTTTCGATAATGATATCGATACCAAACTTGGTATGGCACAACAAGACTGTATGAAGAACATATTTGACTGTTCATAACATGAAAATCATGGCATGTATGTCATGAATGTCATGATTTACATTCCATGGTCCTGCAGCTCTTGCGGTGGTTTAGTTCACATGGCATGTTGCAAAACTGGTATCGTATGACATCATTGCATGGCGAACACAAGTGACACACCTAACATGAAAATCGTGACATGCGTGTCATTTAACATGACTACATGCCACGCTCGTGATGCGCTCGCGGCCGTTCCGCAAGCGTCACATATACCAAGTTTGGTATAACAGTACGTGAATAGGTGTCGAAGTTATGTGACTGGTGCAAACATGATAATCATGAGATGCGTGTCATGTAACATGACTACATGCCACGCTCATGATGCGCTGGTGGCCATTTCGCTCGCTTCACTTATACCAAATTTGGTATTACTAGACGTGAATGGGTGAAGATATGATACTGGTGCAAGCATGATAAACATGACATGCGTGTCATGTAATAACATGACTACAAGCTACGCTCATGATGCGCTCGCGGCCGTTTCGCTATCTTCACATAAGCCAACTTTGGTATTACGTGACACCAATGGATGACGAAGGTATGCGACTGGTGCAAACATGATAATCATGACATGCGTGTCATGTGAGAACTTGACTACATGCTACAGCCAAGGGGGCAATACATTGCGACGCGGTGCGCGTGCTCGCCGGCGTTCATTTCGTCGCGTCGCGCAGGCGTTGCCACGCCAGGCACCGGTCCTGCCATACACTCGCAGGCGCGCGCTGCGTTGCTTTGACGCATGCGCGTTTCAGCGCGTCCGGCGTTCTCCATAACGAAAAGAGGGAGACGCAGTGTTGTCTTGGTAACGCATCGGCACTAAATGCAGCATGTCGCATTTCCCGCCGGTTGCCGTCGGGCGGCGCCGACGGACGCTGGTCGAGCCTGGCGTCAGACAATAGAGTGCTCGCGTTTTGCTAACGTAGCGTCGCTGTGCCCAGCGTGCGCGAGTGTCAACGCTACATTGAAGGATATTGGGCACTTCATGATGCGCTCGCCACCTTTTTGCTTGCTCCACATATTACAAACTCTGTGTTATCTGACGTCAATGGATGACGAAGGTATATGACTGGTGGAAACATGATAATCCTGACACGCGTGTCATTTAAGAAAATGACAACATACCACGCTCGTAGAGTGCTCGCGGCCGCTTTGCTAGCTCCAAATATATTAAATTTGGTTTCACGCGACGTGAACAGATGACGAAGGTAAAAGAGACATCCAAATATGATAATCACGACACGGAAGTCATGTACGGCATCATTTACTTCCACCTAGTAAAGTTGTGCTGATTTTAAAGAGACATATCAACATTCCTTATTCGCGCTTCGCATATCATCGATTCCTACTGTACGTGGGATCTGCCTTTTTTTTTCAACCTTCTTCTTTAAACGATGGTGTTTATGAGACTGCAGACATGTTAAACGTAGCATGTCTCACAGAACATTGTTATTGCATCCCATAGTGGCAAAATCGGCGCATGTGGTCATAGAGCGAAGCAAAAGAGGAAGGAGACGACGAAGGTGAAAAAGATAGCGGAGAGAGCACATACCGGTTCATTTCTACGCCAGGGCGCGTCCCGCAGGACCTGAATAAAGTTGTTCCAACGACCCAACCAACGCCCAACTATATGGCATGCTCTGCTATACACATAGGCGCACGTATGGGGGAACGGGGACAGCCACTCTGTCACGTGAGAAGGGGGAGACATAATAAGGAGGAGAGCACTGTGACTAGAAGCTGCGATAAACACCCCCTCCCCCACCCTCCTGAAGGGAAACCCCGCGCAAGCCTATGACTGTACATTATATGTCTACGCCTTCTCTGTATATTTTCTATTTTTCATGTCTGTGACTTTCTATCTCTTGCTCTCTCTGTTTATCACTTCCTCTGTTATTTTTTTCTTAACTTCACTTTCCGCCTTCTTTTCTCCTTTTCTTTTTATGCATTTGTTTTCTATCACTCTCAGCGCACAGTCAATATCTCGCGTTCTATCTCTCAATATCTTTCCCATTTATTATTTCTTTTTTCTCTCCCTTGTAAGTCAATCTCTCACATTATGTCATATTCTCTGTTATATTGTTCTGTTTTTCCACTGTATCTATTTTTTCTCTCTGACTCATTCGCTGTACTAGTTCTCCCCCCCCCCTTCCCTCCTCGCAACTCTCACATCTCTTCTCATCGCCATGACTTCTGTTTCCTGATACCTTGCTCTACATACCATACAAGGCTACGTGCTCACTGGATTCCGTGCTGACCAGTTGTGCCCTCGCGATCTTCGACGACAGCGCCGCTTTGGCCGACTGCGCTGGTCCTACGCCACCTCCTGCCGCCGGTCCCCTACGACGACGTCAGCGCAGCTCTGGCCGACTGGATTAGCCCTACGCCATCTCCTGGCACCGACAAGAGCTCTCGCAAGTGGTGTCTCGTCCTCGGACTCCTGTGACCATGTTTCCATCTTTCCTATCTCCCCTATCTCACTTATGTCGTCGCTCGCTGTCCTAGCACATATCTCTCTCTCTCTCTCTCTCTCTCTCTCTCTCTCTCTCTCTCTCTCTCTCTCTCTCTCTCTCTTTCTACCTTTAATTCTGTCCTTTTAATCCCTCCTCACCCCCTTCCCTTGTGAGCTACTGTTGAGGTGTCGCACGCTGGTGCAGACAGTTACGGGGCTCACTTTTCTCTTCTTTTTCCCTCTTATAACCACGATCTCTTTTCTGCCAGCATTCCTGAATAGCGAAGTGCAGAAAAAAAAAATCTGAATGGTCGAGCGACTAGGACGCTCACGTTCGTATTCCTCTCTCTCTCGGTCTATTGCTCTCGCTATGTACTCATTGCATCATTCGCCGATAAAATTGGCGCACGTCTTCTGGCTGAGAAGTAGAACACACAGGCGATGAAGAAGTTGACACATAGAGAATCATGATGATAATAAACTTCTATGTACAATAAATAGCAAACCTTGATCTTAACAGATAGGATATTATCGTCATATTTATTTATTTATTTGAAACACTGCAAGCCAATATTTTAGCTCAAGCAGGATGGGTTCACGTACAATGCAAAATTAAATATACAAGCAACGCAAAGGACAAACACAAGAAACAAAACAAACGATAAAATTAGCACGGTAATCATTGAAAAAATAGTGCCATCAAAACATGTGGCAGGAGCAAGCAGATATGTTAACGATGTAAAGTCCTACACCTTTAAAACATGGCATTGTACACTGCCAACAAAGTCATCGGAGCTGACTATACAATTTGGCAACGCATTCCAATCCGCGACCGTACAAAGGAAGAAACTGTATTGAAATTCTTTTGTGCGAGCAAAGATTGGTGCTTACGAATGTGATTGTGATTGTGCCGTTTTTTATTCTTGTACTAACACGCTTAACAAATGCTGGGAGAGATAAATTGATTTTACCTGCTGGGCAGTTGTGAAGGAATGAAAAGCGGTCAACCTTTCTCCGGGCTTCCAGCCCGGAGAAAGCTTATTGAGCTTCATCAACTGTGTAGGGGAATGTAGACGTTTGTACTTTCCAAATATACATCTCACTGATTTACGCTGAACATTTTCTAGTTGCAAAATATCTTTTTTGGTAATGCGGATCCCACACAATTGACGCGTACTCCAATTTAGACCATATGAAGGCATTGTATACGCTAGAAGTTTAATGCTACTGGGCAGAAACTATACCATTCTTCACTCGATAACTGTTCAGAAAGTCTTTGACGTTCGATTCAAATCACGTTCATGGGGATTTCAGATTCGTATTCGCATTCGATATAGTCTTCTACACCTTAATGCAGGGCGGATGGGATGAGTACTGGAATATGCGAATCCGTAAGATGCATACATATGACAATATGCGTAGTGGCCTTCTGTGATTCAGACTTCATAGAGCTTTCTTTTTTTAATAAGGATCGAGAGAGAAATAAAGAAAAGAGTGAAAGAAGAAAGGAAACAAAAATAAGGAAATAAGGACGAGAAGTTCTTGCTGGAATGCATGGCTGACGAAGCACCGTGTAGGTCAAAGCCGCTTGTTCAAACCTCGGCACGGATGCAACATGCACGGAACGCCAACCGCGTCCAGTCATTGAGAAACCTTGTTTGCCGTATGATCCACGCGGATCATTGTGACGTTATCAGGCTGAAATTGGCGAGTTGTGACGCATCGCGACTCCTTGGGCCGTGCTGGTCGATCACTTCCTCACAACGTCAACGTGGTATGTTCACAGAATGCCCCCCTCCCCACTTCCTCCTCCTCCCCTGAGTGATAAATACTCACAGCACGGACAACTTCCGCAAGATGTGACTCACACGGGTAAGATAAGCAGATTGCGTTACCGTCGGCAACGGTATCGACGTGTC